ATGGGGACTTCTTCAACAAACCCTTAACACAACTCCCTTGTTTCCTTTTGCCCAAAGTCTTCCATCTAATTTTCACGGTTACAGGTAACAAAGGCCACTGATTATCATAAAAGAAGTAACCTCAAATAAGGATTTTAGTCTCTGGAAGTGGAATTATTCAGAGATCTGCACAGAGCATCACAGTATTACCACATTTCATTAAATCAGATTCCAGCTGATGCCCAATAATAATAAGCATGACTATCTTTTTCAACATCAAGCATGTCAGGCAATGGCCTTGGGATAAAAAGGACTCCCAGAAGCAAGGGGAGAATTATGATTAAGAATGAAAACACTGCAAGCTTCTAAGTATCTCACTAGAAAGACACATATCAAATGGTTCCAGCCAAAGCCATAACCAGCAATTCTAACCAGTTAAAAAACTACTTAAGAAGAAAAGTTGCAAGAAATAGAAATACATTGGAACCAGGAAACTCAGAAGTCCAGATCTCCTGCCTGATAATGTTATATTTTAACTCTCAGTTAAACAGATAAAATTACAGTCTGAAACCTAACAGCAATGAGGTGGTTTAACCTTTATGTCATAACACATTTATCTCCAACAGGGAAATACAAAACATAAAAAAGGAGACTGAGTCACTGATCCAATAGGAAATATAGCAAAAAAATTTAAGTGAGTCAAGCCTACAAGACTGAAAGAGTGGCATCTTTCTTGCTGTCACCAAAAGATGCATTAAAACAATAAAAACACAGGAAAATGTATCATCTAGAAGCAGTGCCCCTTACATAACACTCTGGTACAGACATATAATGGAAGGTAAACAATATTACATTGCAATGATCAATTTTATAAATGCCTTACTGAATTTCACAGAAGCAACATGGTTCCATGCACCACTGAGCCCCAGTAATTTTACACAGCAAAATTAGTAGGCACARCATGTGCAAAGAAGACATCTTCATGATCACAAGCTGACACATGTACATGGATAACAACAGATAATAACAGGCAAAGGTCCACATGCATAGCAGATAAGGTCAAGAATCTCAATCCTAATTCACACGTTAGAGAAATGTAGGATAAATAGGGCTGGGGGAGGTTACACTGCTCTCCTAATTATGATTCACAGTTACACATCCTTCATCTACACAAAAATAAATGTCTAGTCTTAATGCAAATGACATTCTTTCCATCAAGATACTAAGTTAGTACCAAAACATCACTTCTGATTTTGTGTGAAATACCATCGATGCATCCTGGCACATCACAGCTGAGTACAGCTACCCAGAGGAGTCTGAGGGAAAGCCAAACAGTTTGCAGATACTTTTCACCCAGAAAGACAGTACAAACTGATACTTTTCTCCAATTTGCATTGACTGTTGTAGTACTGTCAGGCATATGGAAAATTAACAATCTATTTAAAATATCTCCATTGATGCTACAATGATTTCTTTCCCGTCAGAAATGAGTACTATTCTGGCAGCCTGTAAAACTTCCACAAAAGGTGTGCTAGACAGCTTTATTTTTATGCACAAACCACCACATTAAAGTCACTCCCAACTGCTTGTTCTAGAACATTACAAACCCCACACTTTAATTTGCTTAGGAACACAAGCTACTTCATCTATACCCATGGCCTGCCAAATTTGGTGRCCTTCTATGATGGGGTTACAGCAGTGATAGATAGGGGAAGGAGCAACAGATATCATCCACCTGGACTTGTGTAAAGCATTTGACATTGTCCTGCATGACATCCTTGACCAAAACTGGAGACACATGGATTTTCTGGATGGACCACTCAGTGGATAAAMAAATGGGCTGGATGGTCACACTCAAAAACTTATGGTCAACAGCTCAATGTCCAAGGGGAGAGAAGTGACAAAGTGACAATCCTCAGGGATGAGTATGGTGACACCTTTGTCAGCAACATGGACARTGGGATTGGGTGCATCCTCAGCAGATTTGYTGACAACACCACGCTGTGTGGTGCAGCTGACACCCTGGAGGGACGGGATATCATCCAGAGGGATCCTGACAGGCTTGAGAGCTGTGTGTGAGAACCTCATGAAGTTCAACAAGGTCAAGTGCAATGTGCTGCAGCAGGGTCACAGCAATCTCAAGCACTAAAAACAGGGCAGAGGATGGATTGAAAGCGGTCCTGGGGAGAAGCACTTGTGAGTGCTGGTGGACAAAATGCTGAACATGAACCAACAGTGTGTGCTGGCAGCCCAGAAAGCCAACCATAACTCAGGCWGCATCAAAGAGATGTGATCAGCAGGTCAAGGRAGRTGATTCTCTCACTCTGCTCTCGTGGGACCCTTCCTGCAGTACTGCATCCAGCTCGGGGGTGCCCAACACAAAAAAGATGTGGACACGGAATGAATCCAAAGAAGGGCCACGAAGGTGATCACACAACTGGTGCACCTCTCCTACAAACACAGACTAAGAGAGTTGAGACGGTTCAGGCTGGAGTAGAGAAGGCTTCAGAGACCTCTAAGAGCAGCCTTCCAATRCAGAAGAGGGACTTGCAGRAAGGCTGGAGAGGGTCTTTTTACAAGGGCATGTAGGGACTGGATGGGGAGAATGGCCTTAAGATGAAAGAGTGTACATTTAGATTAGATATTAAGAAGAAATTCTTCACTGTGAGGGTGGTGAGGAAGTGGATCAGATTGCCAGAGGTTTTGGATTCCATATCCCTGAAGGTGTTCAAGAGGAGGCTGCATGAGGCTCTGAGTAACATGGTATAGCAGAAGGTTTCCTGCCCTTGGCAGAGGGATTGGAATTAGATGATCTTTAAGGTCCTTTCCCGCCCTAACTATTTCATGATTCATGATTCTATAATTCTGTGATTAAGCCCCTGTGATAGTGCTTACCTGAATTGCCTATTTTTAACTAAGGTGAAGTACAGAACCTCTGCCTTAACTGTACTAAAAACAATAATTCAGCAGCAGTGTGAGTCAGACTTATTTTGTTAGGAAGAGTTGTGCCAGAACGCTCTCTCAGCAACRTCTCTGATCCTTCTCTCAACTGCAAATCCCTTCTGACCATTTTCTCCCCTTYCTCATCCATGAGGATTCAGAACCTAAGCCAAGCACTGAGGAATCTGAGAGATCCACAGCATATTTGAAGAGGAAGGTCACTTTGCACCTATAAACAACTCTTTGCACAACTCTTGTGGAACACTCTTTTTCTAAAATCTTCCTCGTTCCGATTTTCCTATCGACAACTTGTTTTTGCACCACAGCATCTGAGAGCTGATGTTAACAGATGATGACTAGCTGGACTTGACCAAGATTTGCCTTATCTTGCATTGTTACTGCAGAATGCCATGCCCTCTCCTCCACTTCTCAAAATGCAAGGTCACAGCACCAGAAGTCACACTGCGAGTACAGAACAGAGCACGCACAAGCAGTGTCCATGACTGCCACAACAAATGTCATTTGAGTATTTGTCAAGAAGATACATTATTTTCCTGATACCAATCTCAAAATACTAAAATGTAGGCTGATAAGCAGTATCAGTAGCAGYGATTTGATTGAATGCATTGCAAAGGATACAGAAATGTGAATCATTCACATAACAAGTATCCCAAAACTGTACAAAAGACTGCTGAAGCAGAAGTTTGCTGCTGAAGGAATTTTTGTCATTTTGAAGACAGAAGCTGCTTGTTGACCATGTGAAAATGCAATTAAGTTCTCTAATTTTATGACGCACATAAAACCAAACTTTAAAGTAGCTTAAACAATACAGATGAAGTTTCCCTATGATTCATTCTTCCATGATGAGAACAGTTGATGAAACATTTACAAAATGCATTACAGTTTTTTTGTGTGGGACTGGAGAATATGTTATGGCTACATYGTATAACTGCCTTGCAGAGAAGGAGTCAAACACCGCCTTAGTTTCACCAAGAAAGGGATGCCCTAAGGAACTGGCAAAGATGATGGTGTATCAGTCAATGAAAAACAACATCTGTCCTTTYTCGAGAAAGGAAAAGACAGGAAAGGGAAAGCCACTCTTGGAGATGTGTATTCTTAAACTGATCMATTTTCTGAAATCAATTCTCACGTAAGTATAGGTGGTATAAACTTAGAACCCTAYACAACTTACATACATAATTATTTATGGTAAGGCTCAAAGGCAAACTCAATGAGGCAGTGAGCATAGGTATTATAAAATGTTGAATTTCAATATGGATGTAAAGTAACATCCATTTTTCTTTCCACCAGCTCTGAGAAGTTACAGTATTTTCCTATCAATGATAACTTTTGCTTAAGAGCCTAATTTGAAATTCCCATGTTAACACTTCCAGCAGAGAGCAAAGAAAAAATATGCAGAGTACAAAAAGTCAATCAAATGGTAATCTTGTTTTATAAGTACACACATGAACACAAAGTTTTGAGCAAATATGGCATAAAGATTCAAAAGAGTGAAAAAAGGATTTTATTTAGGTGCTTTGCTCTCTTGAGAGCAGATCAAAAGGTCTTTCAGAARTTGCTTTCACAGAAAAAGAATCTCTGTACTACAGGCCTAGTTTTGTACATCTTTCCAAAGGCTTCTTGTAGAATACAGTTGGCTGGAAAGGGGCCTCTGGATAATTGAGGCATGTACAATGCCTTTTGACCTCCCTGGTGTCTATTTGGCCTTTTCCACAGATGAAAGAAACCAATCTTTGTTTTATTTATTTACACCCTTGTAGATGTGTATTCATAAACTGATCAATCTTCTGAAATCAATTCTTGTATAAGCGTAGGTGGTGTAAACTTAGAATCCTACACACTTTACTTTTCCTTCACTTTAAAAATCAGAACAAAATTTAAAAGTGCAGGATCATTGAAATACCTTTGGTTTTGAAGCTACCAGTACATTAAATTCTTCAAGGAGCAAAACAGACAAGAAAAAGGAAAGCAACAAGTTCCCACAGGCTACAACTTCAACATTTGTTCTTATTTTTATCTCCTCATTGATAGGCAGAGTGGGCAATAAATACTCAGCATACCTGCTCCAACTTCCTTTTCTTCTTCTTCAATGTTGTTTTTGATACTGTCGTACTCCTCATCAATTGCCTGGTTGCCACGCATTTGAGACAGAATTCTCCGTGCTCTCTGAGTTTGGCCTTTCTGAATKAGCCAGCGGGGACTTTCAGGAAGAAAGAGGAATCCAAGAAACTGTATAACTGCTGGTACAGCCGACAGACCCAGCATGTACCTGGAAATCAATAGGCAAATAGATAAATATCTAATATTTGCCAACAAAAACATGCCATGAGAAGGCTCAGTTACAGCTATTCAAACTGCATTACAGATCAAATCTTCCTGTCCTCATATTCTTTCTCACTGTAAGTTAAGGTGGCAAGAATCATATTCTGCAGGTATTCTAGAAAACATGACCCTTTCCTTCATTTCCAGGAAATCTCAAGGACATGTTGATTATTCTGCCACTGCTGACTCTATTGCCACTGGTCCTGAGAACATTAAATTAGATTAAATAAAAATCCTGAAATATTCTACTATTTTGGAAACTGATAAACACTTCAGTGACAATGATCAACAGAAAAAGAAAGCAAATGCACGGAGGAAAAATGAGTACTGTTGATGTCAAAAATGAGATTGAAATCCTGCTAATATTTTCACTGGCATATTGAAAACAAAGAAACAAAAAAGACTCAGCCAGGTAAAAATGCATAATTTGGTCAGTAGTACTCATACACAGGCACATGCACCAGTTTTAATTTTGAAGCAGAAACACTAAAAAAAGTTCATTTCACCAGCACATCAATTTACACCAGATCATTTAGAGAGTCTGCTTGTAAATCCTCAGCCAGATGCAGTGTTARGTTTTAAATCAAAACTGCATTTTAGATGCCCAGAGGTTACTATTTACAGCATTAAGGCTAGTTCTCTACTCAACAGAGAATTGCCACTGGTAAAAGCACAGCTATACTTYCAAGGATCAGTACTGACACCTTTGACAACACCCAGGGATTCCATTATTTGCTCTATCCAAAGTGGAGGAAAAGGCTGTGGAAGACAAGGACACCACCAATTTTCATGGGTGACGCTGGGGTCTACACACATCACATTTTTTATATTTCTTCAATAAAACAATAYAAGGATTAAAAGAATTGCAGAACAATGTATGACTCTGTTCTGCTTTTTAAATCTGACCTTTTCTCATTTACACTTCACCAAAATTCTTTTCACTTTCATTAAAGACTTTAAAAATTGCTGGTGTCACCTGTACATTATTGCAGTTATCATGGGTTTTACATCAGCGGATATAATCATTATAACCCCTCCAGAAACCAGTCCCTCTGAACACTGAGGTAGCCTGTACTCATAAACAGATTCACACCTTGACATCAATCAGGAGATTAAGGAGTTTTCCTAATCTCTCCTCTAGCTATTCTCTCCACACTCTAAGACGCATGTTTCACAGGTGATTCAGCAGTCTCTCACCTGGATTTTTTTTATAAAGCATGCTACGAAATTAGATTGCTAATTGAGTAGGAAGGAGAGCACAACYATTACTGAAAACCTTCTGTAAAGGCAATGAATCAAGTGTATTTGTCAAGTCCAAAAGCATTTTGAATAAAAATGGAAAAATACTTTCTTAGAGGCATTTGTGGATTTCATGAAGAAAAACATGGGCAGTACAACAGGCAAAAAACTGAAGAATGATAAAAAGAATTCCCAAAAAGCAGTGCAAAGAGGATGATCATCCCAGGACAATGTGCATGCAGASCAGTTTTCCTACTCTCAAGCTGAGCCCTCAAGTTCTTAAAACTGGCCAAAATTTCCAAAGGGCATACCTGCAAATCTTGCTCTACAAAGAGCTCAGAAAGCAGCTCTCTTGTTTTGGTGGGGTTTTTTTTTGGTAACACTTTAAAAATTATACATCTCATCATAGTTATAAAAGAAAAGCATATGAACAAAAATAAATTCAAACCACAAAGTTTGTGGAAGACTTATCAGTTAAGTAGTCTTTGGCCAACGTATCTAACAGTGTCACTAATTCAYTAATGTTCTCATTCCTCATTCACTAATGCTCTCATTCATTAATGCCCTCATTTCTTCCTATGCTTTTCCTTCTCCACAAACATTTTGGTASCTATACACAAAACACATAGACCACTGAAGCTCACGAAATTGTAGATTCGATATCTTCCCTGAAGTGGTACTTAGAAAGCCTTTTCTATTTCAAACGACGAATAAAGCAAACTCATAGAGATTAAAAACGACTGCTGTATCCTGTCACAGTGCATGTAAAAGTATGTTTTAATGCATCTAAGARGTTTAGTCCTTCAGACTCCTCTCACTTAAATTTCTGCTCCTCCAAAGCCCTTCCATCACTTAAATGCAGCAGAGCCTCCAGAACTAAGCAGTTGGGTGCCTGCAATCRTCTTAGGAAGCAAAATCAATCAAGGCTCCTGAAAGCTTGATTCASACTGTTAAAGCTACCAGCTGGACTCTATTGGATTGTTTGTCACAGGCAAGATAAGAAAGAAATGTACAGACCGTGCTCCCTCACTAAAGTTAGTTTCCAATCTACAAAATTCTGGTCGAAGTTGTGTAAAAGGAGCAGGCCAGAAAGAAAATGTTTAGCTGAGAGAGAACATCCATTTCAAGTTCTAGAGTTGTTGTAATTTTCAGAGCAAGCCATTTTGATATAATCAATTTAGAGTAAAAGCAGGCAATTTTAGACATTTCATGCAGTGAGCCAGCTTTCACAAATCTAATATAGTTCTTTCCTATACAGATTACAAGACTTTGAGTTTGAAGCCAGATGTCTAGCAGACCTGAAAAAATCCAGCATGAAATTTAATAAGTCTGCTGTAACATTTCTCCTTCTCTGACATACTGCTGCAATACTATTAAGATGGCATTAGCAGGGTTTATAAAGCTAACCTGACATAAGGGTCAGGTTAAATATTTGTTTTCTTTGGTTTATTTTTAATTTAATATCCACCATTTCCAAGAACAAGCAGAGCCAAKAAAAAGGAAGGTTCCTTATTGTTTTGTACAGCACTCCAGTGCTTAGCCATTTGTCAGCAAGAGATACATTAATTGCTGTAACATTCTTCTCATATGTAATGACTCTGGAGCAAACATTTGTGATTTCTCTCCACACATTTGCTGGCCACTCTTTCCAGGTKACAGACCATCTTCCTTACTCAACTAGCTGAGGACAGTTAATTCCCAATTAACAGCTCCAGCACTGCAGCTGAGAATACCTGAACACCTCACTGAGGTGATAGCCTGTTTCTTCACAGAAAGTCTGACTTCACTTTACTCCACTCAATCCAGCAGAGCAGTACTTGGCACATGCACAAAACACAGCATTACTGCYGTAGCAAAAGTCACCCAGCATATGCCAGTAGGCTGCAGAAACAATTGCTCTTCAGTGCCCAACACACCATGCTGCACTTGGAAGACTGGGACTACGAATAGAAAACTGCAAACCTGGAAAATGGRTCACTAAAGCATGATCCATGTTCCAGGTTGGAACAACTGGAGCATGTCACACAAAAGAGGCTGAAAGAACTGGGTTTATGCTGCCCAGAAAAYAGGTTTTTATTATTCTATAGCATAATTTTTCACTATAAATTTATGCTACAATATCCTTCAATTCTGATCAGATTATTACTGCTCAGATCAAGAATATTTGAAATTCACTCTACTTTGCACATACTGCAGATTACTTACTGGAAATTTGCCTTTTGAAAAATCAGCAGGTAATTATTCTAAATGCAAAAGGCAAGTTACCTTCATAAGCATCATGATAATCATTCAAGCTTGTGATGCATATTTATTGCTCTTCCACTTTAAAGTTTAGTAAAGTCAAAAACCCTATGCATACTGTGAATATTAAGCTTTAGTGAAAGCAGTATGGATCTAGTTTGGCAAGATTGAATTAATTAACTGAAGTTCCATTTTAGTATACACTTTGACCACTTTCTATGTAAATTCTGTATTACCAACAAGAATTACAATAGCAGTCAACTAAATCATGACTATGCCAGCTTGCAAGGAAGGCACACAAACCTCCATCCATCCTTCGCGAGGTAGCTGAAGATTCCATCGACAACACTTGCGAAAAACTGCCCTCCAGTGATGAAGAGAGTGTTGATGGTGACTAATCTGCCTCGTAAGTGCGGTGGAGCCACTTCTGCGATGTACACTGGCACAGTCATAGATGCTACACCTACAAGAATAAATTCGGTTACAGTTATAAAACTGAAAGAGATACAACAACGCTTTTTCATCATAAAATACTATTTGGTGCTGGGTTTGGCTGAGACAATTTTCTTCATAGTAGCTAGTATAGAGCTGTRTTTTAGATTTGTGCTGGAAAGTGTTAATGATTCAGGGATSTTTTCTTTATTGCTTACACAGAGTCAAGGCCTGTTGTGCCTCTCAYCCCACCCACGAGGAGGCTGTGGGTACACAAGTACTTGTGAGGGGACACAGCCAGGACAGCTGACCCCAGCTGACCCCAAGGTATGTTCCAGACTACAGGACATCATGCACAGCATATAGAGCTGGGGGGAGAAGGAGGAAAGGGAGGACATTCCGAGTGATGGAATTTGTCTTCCCCTCTAGCTGTGACACATGAAGGAGCCCTGCTCTCCTGCAAATGGCTGAACACCTGCCTGCCCGTGGGAAGTGGTGAATTAATTCCTTGTTTTGCTTTGCTTATGTGTGTGACTTTTGCTATACCTACTAAACTGCCTTTATCTCAGCCCACAAGTTTTACTCTTCCAATTCTGTCCCCCAACCCTACAAGCAGGGAGTGAGCAAGCGACTGCAAGGGGCTGAGTTGCTGACCAAGGCTGGATATGACAAGCAGTGACCTGACCTGAGCTGGCTTTGGTGCCCAGAAACTCCACAGAAAACACCACCTCTCCTGCCCTGAGTGACCACCCTAATAAATGGAGCCAAAACTCATGGACTAAATGAACTCAATGGACACYTATGGACACTTTGCAGACACTTCACAGGGGTGGTCCATAGACTGCAGAAATGGTATCTGTGTATTATATCAAATCGGAAGGGGATTCATGGGTAATAAGAATGCACTGCATCTTAATGGAAAAAGTGGTGGAGACTGTGCTGGTTTCAGCTGGGGTAAAGTTAATATTCCTCATGGCAGCCAGTATGGGCTATATTTTGGATTTCAACTCAGGACTTCATTTTTTAAAAATTAACTATTCCAGTCAAAATCTGCAATTAAATGGAACATGCTGGACAAATTTGATTTCTGAGTTCCAAATGATGAAAAGAAAGAAAAAGCAACTAGCAAACTCTAGAAGTATACACACAGCAAATGGTTGCTAGCAGCTGTATAGGAATTTCTAGGTCTAATTTAATGATACAAAGAATAACTTTCTTCAATTCACATTGCATGTACACTGAGATTAAATAAAAGGATAGATATATCTATAGTTTTTCATGAAAGAGATGCTATGAACCCAGTAAGCAAAAGTAACTAACTGAAGACATAAGCCAAAGTGACTAACTGAAAACATCAGATGTTCACAAACTGTTCAAATAGAACTTTAGCATGGTTTCCACTGCCAAAACCAAAACCAAGGCCAAGCATCATTGTTATCATCATTATTACTATTGTGAAATTTCATTATTGTTACAGAACAAACTTTCTTGACTTAGTTTAAAAGTATTCCATGTGCTCTTTCAAGGACAGGTTGGYTGGGCYCTGAGCARCSTGATCTAGAGAGAGGCATCCCTGCYYATGTAASGGSACTGGAACCAGCTATCTTTAAGGCTCCTTCCAAACCAAGCTATTCTATGATTCAATGCTAAAATCTCTACCACCATAAGGAAACAAGGACTAACTCTAAACCACAGCTGATTTTTGTTATGTCTTAACACTGGTAGTATTTCCTATTAACTATGTTATGATGAGTCATTTGTGCAAAAGACAGAAATGTCAATGGGGAGCACACACAAACTGTTAAAACAGAGTTCAACATAAAGAGCACACCTGGGTGCAGCATATGCTTTGGTGATYCAAATCCCTATTTCTTTACAAGAATCAACACTAACAAGCAGCAGCAATTTCTTTGTAGTTAAAACTGGAAGTATACTGGCAGCAGGTGCCCAAAGACCCATTTTGACTGAAGTCAGCTGAGGTACAACTTGAGCACAGTGAGCACAGCCAAGCACCATCAGAAACATCACATCTTCCAGCCTGGGGCAGCTCCACCAGGTCCATACAGACAGCTCCACAGCAGCACAGGCCAGTGCCACAGCCCCAGCAAGAAATGGGATCACCTAAAACCATGAACAACTCCTGAAGAACAGCTACAGTTCCTGCCTTGTGCCACAGCAGAAGGGCTTCGTCATGGGATGGCACACACTTCAGCCAGCACCCCACTGCCTGGCTGACTCACCAAACTAAAAGCACAAAATCATCTTTAGCAACAAGGTTAGCCTGACAGGACTGCTGGGAGCCTCCAAAAGCTTGAGAGAAGAATATAAATTGTTTAATAATAAAACGGCATGAGAAGATCCTTTGTTGYGATAGGTAAACACTCACAGCAGCTTCTCAGCATGATAACCCAGTTCCCAGCAGAGCCTCCCAGGACATGCCAACATCTCCTCTTTCTATTGACTGAGCAACCAGCCCAGAATAAAAAAATAAAAAACACATAAAAATGTCAGGGGAAGAAAATAAGGCATTAAAAATGTATTCAAYCAATTTTCAAAGCCAACCAGAATACACCATGGCAAGAAGCATTCAAAGAGTCCTGGGTGTGTTTGACAGAGAAGCGAATTTTCAAATCCAGCCTACCATCAGGGGTATTTCTCTCCCATCTTTCACATCAGTATTTGAAGTAATGACAATTAAAATTATGGAGACAGCACACATAGAAGAGAAAATCCTTTATGGGAAAGCACCAGAGTGTGCCCATTTGCTGCAAACAAAAACCACAGAGGACCCACACGAGGCAGAGGCTGCCACTGGAGCAGAAGGGAAGGGCTCTACAGCTGTGACAGCCCTGGCCCAGGCAGGCTGGGCATTCCTGCTCCCCCAGCCACCCACTGTCTTAGGCATTTCTCATGCCCATGGTCATTGCCCCTMTGCGGTGTGGCCATCCTCCCATAGGCTTCTTGGGAGTGTATGTTAAGATGTATCTTTGACATACATAATCATGTACTGAAGATAATTTGAGAAGTAAAGATGGCCACATCTGTACGTGATTTTTACCAGAAAGCAGTTAGAAAGATGTGCACAACTAAAACCAATACATGCGCTGTAAAAAAGCTACGCTCTAGCCCCCTTCATCTCTTAATGAAGACTGATTTTGCACAGGACCTGTAGAGGAATCTTGTTCAAAACATGCCAGCTAAAAAAGCTTCTCAGGCACCCAAAAAGCAAAGCCACACCATCGGGCAGACTCTCACTGATGTTCAGTGCACACCATCAGCCCTGAGATACTGCTAGAACCACTGGTAGCCCCAGCTATGACACTTGCCTCYTACAGGTAAAACTAAAACCTGTTGCATTACATAGGGGTAGTACAAAAGTAATGTGTTCATAAAAAGTCTAGAACAAGAGGCATCATGACAACAGATCTATTRTTCCTGCTGCATTCTTTTCACAAGTTAATGACTACAGGAATAAACAGAGAAAAGGAATTTTGCACACTTCAACGGTCCTGTCACAGGCCAGCCAGTGATACTAACCATCCACCTGGCATTAACACAATAGTTGAAATTATTTATTATCAAACCTGCAATAAATAGCACAAGATTTCTTAAGGAAGCCTAAGGATTTAGAGTATTAGTTAAAAATCACACAGAATTGTTTAGATTGCCAGAAACATTTGAAGATTATGKAGTCTAACTGCTGTTCAAGCAGGGGCAGCTGGAGCAGGCCATGACCATCTCAATATGTCAATTGCCAACCAAAATTACTGTAATTTTGTAACTTCCATGCCAGCTTTCTCACCCTCAGAAATGTGCTCCCAATGCTGCTGTCTGAAACAGCCTTTCTGGATTTCTATTCAGACCTTACTTCCTTTACTGTGTGTCCCAAAACCTAGAGGTTCAAAACATTCAAACAAAAATTTCAATTCAGAAGACACATTGGCTACGTATTTTCWATTATCATGTCAATATCAAAATATATGCTTTGCTATTCTGAATCCAAAAGAGAGGCAGGAGGTCACAGAACAGGAGGAGGCAATTAGGAAAACCTCTGCTGTTTATCTGACTGTCCTGCAGCAAGCATTCACACACAAAAGCAAAGTTCTTCCTCAAAAAACACCAGGAACAAAAATGGCTATTCTGAAATAAATCAAAATAAGGGAATAAATGATATAACTTTAAAGAAATCTTATTTTAGATTCTCTAGTGTTATTTACATTACTCATTTGCTTTTAGTTGCCTTAGAATACATCGACATTCTCCAGACTTTCCTTCTCTAATTTCCATTTAAGACACATTAGGAGAGTAAGTTCTTCTGAAAAGGCACAGTCAAAAGCAAGGCATTAAGTATTAGTCAAGTATAAAAATCTCTAAAATACACAACCAGTATTTGTTATGTAATTATTTTAATAGCTAGATATTAATGAAACTTGAAAAGTAAGAACAGCTTTCCTARCAAAACAAATATAGCTGCAATGGAATCTTTCCTTAATCTTTCATTTGAGAATGTTTTCATTTACACTTAGATGACATTTTCTAATACGCTCTCACTGTTATACTGCTCACACCAAATAAATGATTCTTGCTGCAGGCAAGTATATTACTACCTAACTAATAGAGCTGATAAGTGACAAGACATGAGAAAAAGAAAATGAAAACAATTAACTGGAAATCTGTCAGAGAAGGCTGAAGCTCTACATTGTGCACCACAGCTATGATACAAAATAGGAGAAAAGAGAGCAGCCAAGTCCAGTCTTTATCTGCTTGAGTAACCAAGGCATGAACTTTCTGTCCTCATTAAAGGATATAGCTTAGAAAAAATATAACCGAAGGTTCCTTACATTTCGACCAGAAGATGCATCTAATTATTATACAGGAAGCATCAGATGACACAATGGGCTGAAATCATCATATTAAGTGGTTTTCACTCCTAAAATCACTTGAGAGACTAATTACTAGGGCTCCAACTATAATCTGCAGTCTTACAATTAGAAAGCAGAGACAAGTCTGTACACAGCTCAATTTTAAGAC